ACCTTACTAATTCGTCTATCACTGAAATTTTTCAGTTTTTCTGAGAAATTATATTTTTTCGTTACCTTATTTGAACTCTTTGAAAGGTAATATAACGGTTTCCTGGCTTTATCATTGATTTACAAAGAGCAGCATTTTAAGCACAAGCTCCGCAGTGTATATCTTTACAATGTTACAGTTATATATCGAATTACCTATCAACAGCTAACGGTTTAAGTTTGAATTACGCGTTAAACTAAAAAAAGCAAAAAAAAATTATTAAAGATGTTTGAAAAAAATTAATGCTTTCTTCAAAGACTTTAAAAAATCCAAAATATTATTGATTTTAAGTCTATAACACGCTTAGCAGCTTAACCTATAATTAAAATTTTTATACAGTTTCTTGCAACAGAAATTCAGCTGAAGTGTTTACTAATTCAGGTTAATTCAAGAATACTAGATCAGCAGATAATTAATGCTAGAATCTGTAAATTTCTGGTAACAGCAGAAGAGACAAAAGATGAATAAAGCTTGGTTTTTACAACAATTTGTAAGATGTTTACCAAAAAAACGCTATTTTTTCTTCAAATTATTTACCACTTTTTTATTGGACTAAATTGTCATAAAAATTTGTTAACAACAGTGAACCTTCTGTAATTTGTAAACTATTGTTTCCACAAAGTATAAGCAAGAATTTGAATGACAGATACGTTCTTAAGTTTTTATCGCAGATGCCACCTAATTTGTCAGTTACCGATTCTGCAGAATACTGGTTGTTTGTTTAGCTCACAAAGATTATAGCATATTGCGTGAAATTAGAGGTCGACTCAACAAAAAAAAAAAAAATTTTTAGCAGACATAATAATCATCATTATATTCTTCAAATCTCAAAACATAGAAAGGTCATCTTTGTTTACAACACTCTACATAATTAACTATCTGTTAGCTCAAGCGATGAACAAAGCAATGTTGATATTATTCAGCTTAAAAAAATTTTTAAAATGTTTTCACTTTTAATTTTTGTGTAACATTACTGTATTTAAAGAATTTTTCATTGGTTGCTTTCACAAATAGATCAGATTCTTATTTACAACTAATATTGTTGAAATAAAACAGTAAGTGAAAGTGTTGAGCATTGCTTATTCACATAATTTTTAAGTAAAATTTAAGAAGAAATTTCAAGGTTTTTATGCTTGATTTATATGTTAATCCTCTGAGAGGTTACTAAAGAAAAAATTTTTCATAAAGCTAGTAAGCACAACGATTTTCCTTTTCTTTTTTTTTTTTTTCAAAGACTGCAAGCAGTTAAAATTGATAAGAAAAATGAACAAAAGCAAAAAAAAAACTACTTAGAGAAAATTTCAGAAGAAAATTTTAAGAGAAGTATAAATGATTGCAAAAACTGTATAATACGATAGTTAAAACGACCGTATCCAATATAAGTCTGAACAATTCAGCAAAGTTGCTAGAGTAATCAGCGTAATTTTTAATAGTAAACATTGTTTTTTTTCTGTACCAAACAGCACTAATTAAATTGTGGAATTTCAGCATAATAAACTGCTTTCAGACATCATACAGTAAAAGTTTTATTGTAAGAAATGAAAATACATCAGTCGCTAATTCCTCTAATTGCTAACTGTATAAGCAATTTTTTCTGTTACTATTGTCGTTTAGTTTATGCCCATAGGTTGGCATTAAAAATAAAGGTTGCAAAAGAAAAAAAAGCTAAATTTAGCAAATTCATGGTACCTTTCTGTAAGCGGTAAATGTTCGCGCAATCGTTCATATCCATCGTTGACACAACGAACACGAAATCGTTCTCTCTCATTGCGTTTCCATACCGATGTGCTGAAGCTAAACCAATTAGGTTAGTCAATCAGTTCAACAAAGATATTATCATTAATG